ATCCTTCCTGGAATCCTTCCTTCATTCCTGGAATCCTTCCTGGAATCCTTCCTTTCTGGAATCCTTCCTTCCTTCCTTTCTTCCTGCAATCCTTCCTACAATCCTTCCTGCAATCCTTCCTTCCTGGAATCCTTCCTTCCTGCAATCCTTCCTGGAATCCTTCCTGCAATCCTTCCTGCAATCCTTCCTGCAATCCTTCCTGCAATCCTTCCTGTCTGTCTGTCTGTCCCGATGCTCCCTGTTCTTTTTGCCTGCTGCTCCTTGTCCTGCCTGCCCTGCCTGTTCTTCCTGCTGTCCCCATCCTTCCTGGAGGTTCTTGTCCTGCCTGTTGTTCCCTTTCCTGTCTGTCCTCCTCTTCTTCCTGCTGTCCCTTGTCCTTCCTGCTGTCCCCCGTCCTTCCTGGAGGCTCTTGTCCTTCCTGCTGTCCCCCGTCCTTCCTGGAGGCTCTTGTCCTTCCTGCTGTCCCCATCCTTCCTGCTGTCCCTTGTCCTTCCTGCTGTCCCCTGTCCTTCCTGGAGGCTCTTGTCCTTCCTGCTGTCCCTTGTCCTTCCTGCTGTCCCCATCCTTCCTGCTGTCCCTTGTCCTTCCTGCTGTCCCCTGTCCTTCCTGCTGTCCCCTGTCATTCCTGCTGTCCCTTGTCCTTCCTGCTGTCCCCATCCTTCCTGCTGTCCCCGTCCTTCCTGGAGGCTCTTGTCCTTCCTGCTGTCCTCTGTCCTTCCTGCTGTCCCCATCCTTCCTGGAGGTTCTTGTCCTGCCTGTTGTCCCCTGCCCTTCCTCTCCTTCCCGCTGTCCCCTGTCCTGCCCTCCGTGTCCTTCCCGATGTCCCTCCTGCTGCCCCTCCTGTGCTTCCTGGTGTTCCCTCTCCTGCCTCTCCAGCCCGATGCTTCCCATCCTGCCTGTCTTTCCTGCCCTTCCCGATGTCCCCGTCCTTCCCGGCCTTCCTTCTCCCACATTCCGTGTCCATTCCCTGCCCTTTCCCTGCCCATTCCATGCCTGTTCCAGCCCCATTCCAAACCCGTTCCAGCTCCATTCCAGCCCCATTCCAAGCCCATTCCAGCCCCATTCCAAACCCGTTCCAGCTCCATTCCAGCCCCATTCCAGCCCCATTCCATGCCTGTTCCACCCCCATTCCAAACCCGTTCCAGCTCCATTCCAGCCCCATTCCAAGCCCATTCCAGCCCCATTCCAGCCCCACTCCAGCCCCATTCCAAACCCATTCCAGCCCCATTCCAAACCCATTCCAGCCCCNACCAGCAACACCATCAACACCCCAGCATCAGCATCCTTCCTTGGCTGTGGGCTCTTCCTTCCTGCAATCCTTCCTGGAATCCTTCCTGGAATCCTTCCTTCCTGCAATCCTTCCTGGAATCCTTCCTGCAATCCTTCCTGCAATCCTTCCTGCAATCCTTCCTGCAATCCTTCCTGCAATCCTTCCTGGAATCCTTCCTTCCTGCAATCCTTCCTGCAATCCTTCCTGCAATCCTTCCTTCCTGGAATCCTTCCTGGAATCCTTCCTGGAATCCTTCCTTCCTGCAATCCTTCCTGCAATCCTTCCTTCCTGGAATCCTTCCTTCATTCCTGGAATCCTTCCTGGAATCCTTCCTTCATTCCTGGAATCCTTCCTGGAATCCTTCCTGCAATCCTTCCTTTCTTCCTGGAATCCTTCCTGGAATCCTTCCTTTCTGGAATCCTTCCTCCCTTCCTTTCTTCCTGGAATCCTTCCTGGAATCCTTTCTTCCTGGAATCCTTCCTGTCTGTCTGTCTGTCCCGATGCTCCCTGTTCTTTTTGCCTGCTGCTCCCTGTCCTGCCTGTGTTTCTTTCCTTGCCTGCTGTCCCCATCCTTCCTGCTGTCCCCTGTCCTTCCTGCTGTCCTTGTCCTTCCTGCTGTCCCCTGTCCTTCCTGCTGTCCCCATCCTTCCTGCTGTCCCCTCTCCTTCCTGCTGTCCCCATCCTTCCTGCTGTCCCCTGTCCTTCCTGCTGTCCCCCGTCCTTCCTGCTGTCCCCTGTCCTTCCTGCTGTCCCCTGTCCTTCCTGCTGTCCCTGTCCTTCCTGCTGACCCCGTCCTTCCTGCTGTCCCCATCCTTCCTGCTGTCCCTCTCCTTCCTGCTGTCCCTGTCCTTCCTGCTGACCCCGTCCTTCCTGCTGTCCCCTGTCCTTCCTGCTGTCCCTGCCCTTCCTGCTGTCCCCATCCTTCCTGCTGTCCTTGTCCTTCCTGCTGTCCCTGTCCTTCCTGCTGTCCCCATCCTTCCTGCTGTCCTTGTCCTTCCTGCTGTCCCCTGTCCTTCCTGCTGTCCCCTGTCCTTCCTGCTGTCCCTGCCCTTCCTGCTGTCCCCATCCTTCCTGCTGTCCCCTGTCCTTCCTGCTGTCCCTGTCCTTCCTGCTGTCCCCATCCTTCCTGCTGTCCCCATCCTTCCTGCTGTCCCCTGCCCTTCCTGCTGTCCCTGTCCTTCCTGCTGTCCCCTGTCCTTCCTGCTGTCCCCTGTCCTTCCTGCTGTCCCCATCCTTCCTGCTGTCCCCATCCTTCCTGCTGTCCCTGTCCTTCCTGCTGTCCTTGTCCTTCCTGCTGTCCCTGTCCTTCCTGCTGTCCCCATCCTTCCTGCTGTCCCTGTCCTTCCTGCTGTCCCCATCCTTCCTGCTGTCCTTGTCCTTCCTGCTGACCCCGTCCTTCCTGCTGTCCCTGTCCTTCCTGCTGTCCCCATCCTTCCTGCTGTCCCTGTCCTTCCTGCTGTCCCTGTCCTTCCTGCTGTCCCCATCCTTCCTGCTGTCCCTGTCCTTCCTGCTGTCCCTGTCCTTCCTGCTGTCCCCTGTTCTTCCTGCTGTCCCCCGTCCTTCCTGGAGGTTCTTGTCCTGCCTGTTGTCCCCTGCCCTTCCTCTCCTTCCCGATGTCCCTCCTGCTGCCCTCGGTGTCCCTCCCGCTGTCCCCTGTCCTGCTTCCCCTGCCCTGCCCGTCCTGCCCGTGCCTCTCACCCTTCCCCATGTTCCCTCTCCTGTTTTCCCTGCCCGTCCTGCCCGTGCCTCCTGTCCTCCCTGTCCTTCCTGATTTTCCCTCTCCTGCTTTCCCTGCCTGTCCTCCCTGTCCCCATGTCCTGCCTGTCCTGTCTGTCCTTCCTGGCCTTCCCTCTCCCACGTTCCCTGCCCTTTCCCTGCCCATTCCATGCCCGCTCCAGCCCCATTCCAAACCCATTCCAAACCCATTCCAGCCCTGTTCCAGCCCCATTCCAAACCCATTCCAGCCCCATTCCAGCCCCACTCCAAACCCATTCCAAACCCATTCCAGTCCCATTCCAGCCCCATTCCAGCCCCATTCCAA